CGAAAGTAGGCTTCTTGTTCTCCCTCTCCCTCCCTAGAGAACACTTGAGTGATTGCCCTATCAGTCAGCACTGGGCCTGAGGGTGGGCAGGAGCCCAGCGGCGTGAGGAATGGGGGCCGAATAGCCTAGAGATGGGAGAATTCCATGAGGGGAGTTTCGCTGGCAGCTGCTATCCTGGCTGAAGCCCTGAGTTACATGACATGATGGGGAGGGGGCTGGTTGTGAGGGCCTCAGCTGCCGATATACCTGGAAATGTCACACAAGTGGTCTTTCTTCTACAAATTTGAGTTTGGTAAGACTTGAAGGTGGCGATGGGGACAGGGGTCAATATTTTCACTCGTATCTTCCTTCTCCTGCTCCTCTCTCCCATATACACTGCACAAGCAGGGGTCCAGGGAGAAGGAGAACCCATGGGTGAGGCCTCTCGGATCTTTGGCTGGGCTGGGGAGACTTGCTCACAGGATGCTGCACAGGAGACCAAAGGCACCCTTGCCAGACGAATGTGTCACTGGGGTGTGGGATCCCAGTCAGATAATTTGGCAAGTGTGGAAGGAACCAGGAGGTGTGAAGCCAAGTGTGGTGGATCTAGAGGGAACCATCCAGATATGGGGCAGCATCTAGGGTAACTCTCAAGTAGAAGTCAGATGCTCTTGATTGGGCTGGAAGTGGGTGTGCTGGGAAGACCTTTTCTAGGACACTCCAGAACACACAGTGTCTCCACTCCCTCTGAAAAAGCAAAAATATATTTACCTCATAATCTCATAAGATAATCAGTTTGCAGGGTAGGTGAATTCCTAAAAATGTAACAGAGAGCAGTAGCCTTCAGTGAACTGAACTTGCAGAACAAAGTGGCTTTATGCTAAGACTGTATGTATTAGAGTTAGAATATCAGACTTGATACCATATTATCTACTATTTTTTGCAATGTCTCTATTAGAGAAAGCAGGAAACTCCACGAAGCCATGAAAAGAGAAGAGGGTAGATAGGGGAGATTCAGTCTCTCTCTGCAATTCTGACTGATGAAACAATCAGGTATTTGTGGGTGGTTGAACTTGTATTGCTCCCATGACAGAGGGAGTGCCTTTGAACACTCAGTTCAAGTTTACAGTTCATCCTCACCCAAGGAGGCTGAGATCTCAATGTGTAATCATAATAGAATCCAGGAACTGGTGGTAAAAACAGAGCCAAGAGAAAGCCTGTAATTGCTTAAATCTCTCTCAATTTAACTCCTTTTTTTCTATACTGCACCTTAGGTCTATGGAGGCCCTGATTTCCACTCTCCCAGGATAACCCAGTTGTGTGCTCAAAGATCATCTGAAAGCCCCATGCAGGTCTCTAGCACTGGGAATGAGCTAGCAATCCGATTTAAGACTGACAGCTCTGTAAATGGAAGAGGCTTCAATGCTTCCTGGCAAGCAGTCCCTGGAGGTAAGGGGGGAAAAATATGGGAAGAGGCTTAACCCAAGTCCTTGCTAAATTCCATGATGTGATTGAAGTCTACACTCTGGTAACACTGTGTTTTCGCAAAGGATTAATACAGCTTTGGCATATACTCATATGTGTCTGAAAATATGTGATAGAGGTTCAGTTCCTAAGTGTCACCACAGATGTGAAAACAGAGATACAAGCATGCATATTTATCACGGTGAGAACAGAATTAAAGTGATTGGTTAGACTCAGTCTCCAAGGCACTAGTGCCTATTCACCAGCCTTCATTGTGGGTATCAGTGAATGTAAGTTACTTTATGCCATAGCATAGACCTCTGGATTCTTGGCAAATGCCAAAACTCTAAACAATAACTTTGTGAATTCCCAGGAATTACTCTGCAGCTTTCTGTCCAAGATCTTAGGTAGCCAAAATAAATCACTTGTCGCAAATTTAAAAACTTAACACACTATGGCACAAAATATCATAATAGGTATTAATATTTTAATAGATATGACTATCGTAACAGATGTTAACTTATATAATTCTGAGTAATAGCCACATTTATGGAATGTTGGGCAGCTTTCTAATTATTTTGCAAGAATTATCTCATTTAATCCTTATAACCACCTCATCAGGGAAGTTCATTTTATATTCTCATCTTATTAGTGAGAAAACCAAAACTTAGAGAAGTTAGTAACTTGTCCAAGGTCCCACACCTAGAAAATGCCAAAATAGAGATGTGTCCCCAGGCCATCTTAGGGCCCCCTTCTTCAACACTAAGGTAATATCATAACTACATGAGATTTTTTGTAAAATTATTTATGTGTGAACTTAAATACACACATACAATGTTTCAATTATACTCAAATGAATCTTACTAGAAAATGATGCTGAATTTTTCTATTATTGGTTTATATCATCACAAATACAAGAAATTATAGATAATGGAAATAGATATTATATGAACAGGTATTTGATAATATCATAGGAATTTTTTAATTTAAGTAATTATGTTGCATTCAGAATAATATATCTTTTGAGAGATTTTAGTGTGTGCTTGCCAGACAAGTGGAGAGAGACAGAAAATGAGAAATCACCCCCCAAGGCAGGATGGCCACACCACAATCCCTTCTCCTCTATTCTCATCTTGGGATTTTGGGTATGCACACATATGTGTCCGGTGTGTTTCAAGCCTCTAGATCCAGGACTCGAACTTCAGTCAGCCATGTGGAAGTCCAGCGATGTAACCATTACACCATCTGCTGGTCCTCAGAATAATATATTTTCAAAGGTAAATATAAAATCATTTATAAATGAATATGCTACTGGATTATCAAAATTCTTGAAAGAAGTTGTACTTATTATTATAGTATGCTATGTTTTTAGAGGTCAGCAAAGAGTTAGTTCATACTTTTGTGAAAATATTATTTTATTGCACTTATTTTTCATTATTTTTATTGATCAATTGCTAGAGTGCATGTGTGCTTGCCAGACAGATACAGAGAGAGAGAAGAACAGAAAGGATCCTTCCTGCCTCCCCTCCCCCCTCCCCAGGAAATGATCACTCTGCAATTCACATCTCCAGCCTGTCAGGATTTGGGGCATGCATGCACACATGCCCAGTGTGTTTCCCAAGTCTCTGGACTGAGAACTGCACAGTTGGCCATTTAGCATTGGGCTGCCTTCACCACCAGACCAAGGAGCTGGCCTTCATTATTTTGAAAAATAACTTTTGGCATCAGTACTTAAAGTGCAGTATTTTCTTAGTACGTCATCTTAATTTCTATTTAGTTGAATGAATTAATGTAAAAATTTAGCCCTTCAATGTTTGTACCATAGACTTAATAAAACTGTCATGCAAAGTAGTATAGTTCTATATGATGAGGTAATGGTACACCTTTTACTGATTCCTCTCATTGTTGAATTGGTTTCCCACTTACAGGTTGTGGTGGGATTTTCCAGGCTCCAAATGGAGAGATTCATTCTCCAAATTATCCCAGACCTTATAGGAGTAACACTGACTGTTCTTGGGTCATTCAAGTTGAAAAAAATTATCGTGTTCTTTTGAACTTCACGGACTTTGACCTTGAGCCTCAGGACTCTTGTCTAATGGTAAGTGACACAAATTTCAAGTATTAACTCCAGTCCAATCTGAGTCTAAAAATTGCCATGTGAATGGTGAACACATTCGTTGTGGAGGTTTTTAATATCAAATCATAGGAAACCCAACTACTAGCAACTTAAAAGATAAAGATTTTTTAAATTATTTATTTTAATTTTATTCATTAATTTATTTTAATTTGACCAGCGAGAGACAGACAGAGAGAGAGTAAGCCACCAGGTCCAGGACTCAAACCATAGTCAGCCATGTGGAACTGTCCAATGCCTTAACCACAATGCCACCTGATGGCCTCCCAGTGATTTTTGGTTTTTTACTTAAAAACGAATCAAGAGGTAGATAATCTCAAAGTTTTTACAGAAACTCCGGGGGTTTTTTTTTTTGTTGTTGTTGTGTTTTGTTTTTTTTTTTTTGAGAGGCTTTTGCTATAGGGTGTGTGCCCTCGCCAGAAAGACAGAGAGAGACAAAAAGTAAGAAATCACCCCCCAGGGGTGATGGCCATGCTGCAGTTCCTTCTCCTCCATTCTCCTCTCAGGATCTTGGGCACCCATGCACACGTGCCCGACGTGAGTTTAAGTCAAACTGTGGTGGACTACATGGGACTCCAGCAACATAGCCATTATGCCAACTGTTGGTCCCCAGCAATTCCGTTTCTGCTCTACTGTTTTTAGTGTGTTGATTTTTCATTGTGCTTGTGACTGCATGATCAAAAAGTATCTGCAATAGCTTTTTTCTGAACATCTATTTGAGTCTACAACTAGAGGAAAGAAGGAGTAGTGTTAGCTGTTCCTGCATGCACGTATTTAAATCAAGAAAGCAAAATTTTTATGAAAGTTCCATAACATATCATTGGCCAGAATTGGCTACCAAGGAGATCAGGAAAGTACAGTAGAATAGATTTATCATAACTAGGTTAGCCCAGTTTTTATTAAGCTTTTGGAATCCTCACAGATGTCTGTTTTTCTTAAGGCTTGAGTATCTTGATTTGCTACTTGAACAAATCAGTATTCTTAAGGCACAGAATAGATTGGGAGAGGAGGGTAATGAAGAAGGAATATAGTATTGTTGGTTAGGTGACAACTTTTTGCTACTACCAGTAATTTTAATGCATTCTTACCTGAAACTAATGCTTGTGCTTAAAGTAAGGCTCAATGAGATTTTCTTTAGAAATTTTCTTCTTTTAAAAAATTTTAAACTGTCACAGGGTGCATGTGCTTTCCAGAAGTAGACAAAGAGGCAGAAAGAAAGAGAGGGAGAAAGCATCCTCTAGTGGGGCGTGACCATACCACTATCACTTTCATTTCTTCAACCTGTCAGGATTGTGTGCACATGCAAACACACACACATACACACACATAACCTGTCAGGATTGTGTGCACACGCATACACACACACACACACACACACACACACACACACACACACACGTAGCACCTACCATGTTTTTCCAAGCCACCAGGGCAGGATTCCAACTGTGTTTGGCCATGTGGGATCTGGCTCCCTTCACCACAGGGCTATGGGGTGGGTGCTCTTTCTAATGTAAAATATTTGATTATCTGATTTTCTAACAAAAGGTTTTATCTTTCATTTGTATTTATAGACATTTCAGTATAAACCAGATTCTCTTGGTTAATGGATCTCTCTTTTAGCTCCCCGACAATTTCTTACACAAACTCCAACTAGCTAGCTTCTTTTGAATTTAACTCAAGAAAACTCAAAAGTTGTTTCACATTGTTCAGAGTAGTCCAGTCTAATGGTATGATTTCAAATGTTATTTTACAAGATTAGATTAATAGAAGTTCTGTTGATGTATGACTATATATTAACCTTCTAAATGAGTCTTCAGAGTCTAAGTAGGTAAAGCGTCATAGAAACTTAAGGTACAGGACTTCCATTTTCCATAATGTTCAGACCCATGCTCCTGACAAAAACAATTTAATAATTTTGGATGGCATTAAAAAAAAAAAAAAACTTCCTAAATGCAGCAAAAACCTCACATGGTAGTGTAACATTTCTGAGTTAATATCTGAGAGAGGTGTGAGCCCAGTATGTGGGATTGTTTTGCCCACATGGCATTTATTAATCCGAAAGGAGTTAGCAACACTTCTGAAAGTCTCTTAGGGCAAAGAGGACCAAAGTTAGTCTATGTCCTGATCAGGGTGAAATTTCCAGTAAACCATTTGTATCCTAGGTAAAAACAAAAGTGAAACAGCCTTTACTGAGATTGCATCTCAGCTTTAAGTAACCTGAGTTGCTCCCCTCAAATCTCAAGGCAGGGAGAAATGAACTGGCAATAGCCAGTTCATTCAGTCATCAGGCACCAGAAGAATCCATTTAAAATCTTCTTCAAAGGGAAATAAAATCATCCTAGACCTCATTTCTACCACTAATTTTTAATATGCAATAGCCAACACACAACCAAAGATATCTATGTACATAAAGAGACAGTATAATATCATTGAAATACAACATGAATAACAATCTAATAAACCCATTGATATGCCAGATAGTAACATCACCATGTACAGGTGGCCAAGTAACTATGAATAAGTTCATAGAGATGAGAGTAACACTGAAAACTTCAGCAAGAGACTGTCAACTATACAAATTGACATTGCAAATATGAAAAAGAACCATCTAAAGGTTTTAGAGCAGGTAAGTACTATAGCTAAATTGAAGACCTCAGCAAAAGGGCTTTTGGGAGATTAGATAAAGAGAGAAATAGTAAACTGGAATGTAAATCAGAAGAATCCATCCAGAGAAAAGCATAGATAAGCAAAAGTATAAAAGGAGGTAAAGATACATGAAGGATACATAGAAAAGGTATAACATACATTTAACTAGAATACCAGAAGGAAAAGAGAGAGAAATGGAGCATGACTAATATTTGTAGAACTAATGCCTAAGACTTTTCCAAAACTGGTGAAACAATCATTTTACAAAAATTAGAATCTTAAGGAACCCAGTCAGACAAGATAAACAGAAAGACATACTTATCTGGAAAATAAATAAGAACAAACAAACAAAAGCCCTAAAGATAAAAGAAATATATTAAAGTCAGCCAGGGGTGTGGATAGGTGCAGAACAGGTTAACTCTTAGAAAGTAATGGACTAAATGCTGACTTTTCAATAATTAGAAGAAGAAGAAAAAGACAGTGGAATAGTATGTTCAGTTTGAAGAAAGAAATAACTACTGTCAGGAACTCTATATTATACTCCTTTAAAATGCCTTTAAGAATAAAGACGAAATAGAGACCAGCAGATGGCATAATGGGTACATCACTGGACTACCATGTGGTCAACTGCAGTTTGAATCCCAGACCTGGAGGCTTGAAACTCACACCGGGTGTGTGTGTGTGTGTGTGTGTGTGTGTGTGTGTGCGCGCGCGCGCGTGCGCACATGTGTGCCCAAAATCCCGAGAGGAGACTGGAGGAGAAAGGATTGCAGCATTACCATCTCCCCTGGGGGGGAGGGGATTTATCTTTATCTCTTTGGCAAGCACAAGTGCACTCCCCTTGTAGAAAAAAGTTCTTAAGAAAAAAAGAAGAAATAAGAAAAAAGAATAAAGATGAAATTAACACAGAAAGCAAAAGAATGATCTCAAGAGAAGTCTTGATGGGCTAGAGACAAAGAATCTAGTCATAGTTTTGTCTGTAGCAGGCATTTCTCCACTCCTTGCTCCTCTAAGTCTGCATGTTGCCAAGTATAACTTCTTATCTTTGGTCAAGTTCATAATCCATAGAATTTAATATACAAAACGTGTGACCAAACCAAAGCCTGGGTCAAAGACATCCCTCACATGGTTGTATTTTTTCCCTCCTGTGGTCATGAGATAAAAACACACAAAGTTTTTTTTTTTATTATTTTTTATATTTTATTAACCACTGTCATATCTCAGCATGTGGCTGGGTTTGGCTTAAAAAAATAGCAGGAGGGAACAGACAAGAGAAAGTGAACTTCAATCATAATCTTGTACATAGTCATGGAGATGGGAAAATAAACCCAAAGATAGGTTATGGGAGGAGTTCAGTTTGGCAAATGAGGCAAAATACAAAATGTAATAGTCCAAACAAGTTGTCAGAATTAGGGAGTCCTTTGTGAAGTAGCTGGACTATCCCAGCGAGTGGGCATAAGGGGCTTTAAGAAGTAGATGCCTGGGCCAACAGGTGTCATGGCGGTCAAGGTGCTGAACTCTCACATGGCTGACTGCGATTCGAGTCCTAAATCTGGTAATTTGAAGATCACACCGACTATGTGTACGCAGGGTGTGTGTATGTGTGTGTGTGTGTGTGTGCGTGCCCAAAATCCCAGGAAGAGAATGGAGGTGAAAGGATTATGGCTTGGCCATCCCCCCTCCAGGGGGTGATATCTCACTTTCACTTTCACTTTCTCTGTCTCTCTCTCTCTCTCTCTCCAGTGAGTGCAGCACACATGCCCTATGGCAAAAGCCTATTTTTTTTTTTTTAATGAAGAAGTAGATGCCATTAAGCACTTGGGTAAGATGTTGATACAAAGAGTGAACTATACCAACCAGTGAGTCACCAAGGTGCCATAACTAAGAAATTGAGCTCTATGGTGTGTGGACCTGGAGCTGACCATGTACTTTGTTATTTTGCTATTTTCTAGCTGTGTAGATTGGGAGGAAGTACATCTTTCAACTTCAGGTACTTTAACTAAAGTGGAGATAAGAGGACCTATGTCAGATTTGTTGGTGAGGTTAAGACAATGTAGGTGATCTGCTTGTTGTGAGAACTTTCTTTCTATGTAGAAAGTTCTCAATTTGTGCTAGCCATAGTCCTGATAGTGTGAGAAATGAGGTGGCAGAGAAAGGGAGATGGTAGAAAGGCTTTCTGAGAAACTAGGGGAAAGTTTGGATCAGAGGTTATAAATGCCTTATGTTGGAAGGTATCTTTGGTAGTAGAGAGAGGGGGACAGAGAACAGTTACGGTGCCATAGTAAACAAGACTTAGCGGTGAATTATATGGTGGTGGG